TTTAATACTAAAATAATGCTAAATTTTAGCTGCTATTAATTTCGCACAGAAAAAGTAATCATTTGACCTAATGTGCTTTGTGACAAAAATGCTGAACTTCATAGCGCTTGAGGCACGTCTTTCCGTTATCCGATTTTAAAAATTCTTCGCAGGGCATGTTTTATTACCAATGGAACATTTCTAGGGTGAGTCTTGCTTTGTACCTTAACAAAAAATTTTCTCCATACAAATAAAGCGTCTTATGCATGTAGTAAAATCCTAAATATTTCCGTGTGAATTTGTTGACGGGTTATATGATTTTAGAACTCTATTATGTATTTAGTTGCCAACAATTAAATACAGCAACAATCATATAGTTAATCAGATAACCTAATAACCAGAACTAAACTGAAGTAATTCATCATTATGTACCCATACAAATACATATGTAAAAAAATCAAGTGCGCCTGGGCCACACTGGAGAAGTGAAACTTACATTACATACATATCTATTTTGTGTCATAACCAATATACATACATACATATGTACATACATACATACATCTGATTTTGCTTAAGGTTATATTTTTTGTCTTTTCTATCTATATCCCTACCTCTACCTCTGTTCGTTCTAAATACATTTATGTTATTCTGTTTTTCATTATCTTAATTTTTATCTTTTTACTCTATCGATAACAAAATCGATAGTAACATCCAATAAAATATCGATAAAAAACCGATAAAAATATCGATAACAAAATCGATAAAAATTTCGATAGCGAAAACGATAATAATATTAGTAGCAAAATCTATTAGAAACTCGAAAAGAATATCCAGAACACAATCGATAAAAATATCGGTAATAAAATCGATAAAAATGTACATAACAAAATCGATAAATATCGGTAACAAAATCGATATATGTCGATAACGAAATCGATAAATATCGATAACAAAATCGATAAATATCGATAACAAAATCAATAAATATCGATAACAAAATCGAAAAATATCGATAACAGAACCAATAAATATCGATAACAAAATCGATAAAAGTNATATCGGTAACAAAATCGATAAATGTCGATTAAAAAATCGATAAATATCGATAAATATCGATAACAAGATCAATAAGTATCGATAACAACATCTAAAAATATCGATAACAGAATCAATAAATATCGATAACAAAATCGATAAAAGTATCGATAAGAAAATCGATAAAAATATCGCTAACAAAATAGTTAAAAATATCGATTACAAAATCGATAACTAATAATAAATAAAATAATAAATATCGATAAGTCCCGAGAATTCCGAAAATTTCTAAAATCCCAAAATTATTCCCAGATTGAGTCTCTGTGTCTCTCTCTATATCCTTTCCTCTTAAATTACCTTTATTTTAATCTTTCTTTCCCCATCTTTATCTTTACTTTTATCGGTATCCCCATCTTCCTCTTTGTCTTTACTTTTATGTTTTTTATTTTCTTCATCTACATACATATTTCCATTCACCTGTGCCCTTATATATATATATATAAGTAAAGTGTTTAAATTTACCTTGGCCTTCATTCTTGCTTTTATCTTTACGCTTCTTTGTTTTTGTTTTTATTTTTGCCTTTGCATTTATCCTTTTCTTTATCTATGTACGTAGTCACCTTTACTTTTATTCTTGTATTGGCCTTTTTCTAAGTGTTATTCTTTAACCTTTTATCAGCAAGTTTTAGTTAAATTAATACCATATGCATACACACAAGAAGCGCTTGTTTCAGCCCCAACCATTTCCGTTGCATCATTTCCGTTAACCTTTTATTAGCAAATCTTAGTTAAATTAATACCATATGCATACACACAAGAAGCACTTGTTTCAGGCCCAACCATTTCCGTTGCACCATTTCCGTGTGCAATTTCCGTTGAATTTGCGAATTTACTCCCAACCAACCAACCGCCGCTAAAGAAGTTTCACTTCAAAAATACATATCCATATGTAATAAATTCATATACATATATTGCATATTATGCGTTGAATATTATTGGTACAAACATTTTTTTACTTACAGATTCAGACTTTGAGAGTAACCCAATACCGCCATTAAGGTTTAACAGAAATGATTCAAGTAGACAACTGAACCAACAGTCTTGCAGCACTTCAGATGCCCAGGCAGTATTTAAAACGTCTTTGCCAAAGATGCATGTTATGCGAAATAAAAACAACGGCACTTTTGAACAATTGCATGAAAAATTTCGACAAATAGTTATGAAAAACGTACTTGAGTACAGGACGCAACAACTGCAAAAATCTCAACTACTTATTGAATTGTGACTTTCAAAAGTACATATAAATGTAAATGCAATAACAATATAAATTATAGAAATAAAAAACTATGTGCACATACATTGCAGAGAAGCGCAGCGAGTATGATCAAACTGAGTATATCCCACTCACCATCCATAATTTATTCTGCTTTGAAAAAGCAGCGTACATTTTGAAAATTTAAGGAGAAATCAACGTTTTTTTTCATATTTATATCCACCAGGCAGAAGCACAATAATAGCCGGTTTCTCCAGTAATTTAAATTTAAATTGATTTGGTTTTCTGTCAATTGACTGCTCAATTGTCACTTAAATTGCTTTCGTGAAATTGGCTGTAAGTGCCATTAAAATATATTAAATTGCCCACTGGCTTATAGGCAATTTTGACCACTTTGCACAATAGGTCAAATGATTCATTTGACTGTGCGAAAGTCCAATTTCGTAAATGCAGATTTACATTATTGTTTGATGCCGTTCTGTAGGAAATACTCCAAAATAACAGAAACTTCACTTTCACCGTTAGACAGCAATCAAACAAAGTTACACTTTCAAAACGTTATTGACACGTCGTTTGCGCAACCGGTTTATTTCTTAAGTTTAAAGTGTATTTTTTATAAAGCTCGAATAATTAAAGAAACATTTTAATGGATAAGTGAGAACCTATGTCATAATTTAAAAAAGTGACTTTTTATCATTTCTTTGCAAAACAAGCTGACTTATTTGCATAACCTCAAAAATTTTTTTGATTTATTTCCAATTATGATTTAATGTAAACTTTTACAATTTTGTTAACTTTCGGCAAACAAAGTGGAAATGGAAATGGGTAAACTGGGATGTAATGAGTTGATCTTATTTTACGTAAGCCGCCGTTTTTAGCCGTTTTCAAGAAAAACAATTTTTTTTGGGCCATCATGCTATTACAAAAGGCGAGATGTTTGTAGTTTGGCTGATTGGATGTTCAAAGACAGAAAGGCTTTCTTCGGTTGTCAACCATGTTTATAGACAAATTTGGTGCTGTTGATATTTGCGGAAGTTTCATGAAACTCTTAGAAGAAAAAAACGCATATTTTTTGCAATTATTTATCAAACAAAGACGGAAAATTATGGAATTATCCCGTTTCTTACTGATGAAGTTGTTTTAGAAATCAAAGCCAACTGTGTCGACCAGCGAAATGCGAAAGCTAACATTTTATCCGAATTTTTGGCTATCCCCAAAAATTGCGGTTCTGTTCTCCCTTTCGCTAAAAATAACTTAGCCTAAATTGTAGTATTTTACCCGGCCGCAAGTGGCGCTGTACAACAACAGCAGCTGTAAAAATTTACTTGCATTTTAATGGTGGTAAATAGTCAATTTTAATGGTGATAAATAGTGAAAATGGAAGTATGTGATAGCAAAAAAAATACCAGCCTCAATTTGGATTACATTTCATCTCCTGTAGCATAGCTATGTTACAAAGACACTCGCGCCGATTCGCAAATATATTGATGAGCAGCCTTCGCAAAAAGGCAAATCCTTGAGAGAATCTACGGATTGCAATTTCGAAATTTTTTTCTCAAGGTGAATAGAGCTTTGAACATTCTTTTCGTAAATTAGTTTCAAAAATATTATTTTCAGGAAGTTACCAGCGGTTTTAGTAAATGTGTTACAATGCAGCATTTGCATTCTGAATATAAATAATATCGGTGGACAATTTGGGAAAAATCTTTAAGTGAAAATAAAGTGTTTTATGCCTCCAGGCATATCTGCGAAACATGTAGTAAATATTTTTTTTTAATTAAGGGACGTCGATAATATATATTTTTTAATCCCTAGATGAAACCATTTATGAACATATGACCATACTTATTCTATTTATGTAGCTCAACCCCCTCCGGGTTGAGTATGGTAAGAAAATAATTGTTTCAAAACCAAGCTATTTGGACAATGTTTTCGAGACTACCTACATAAACACACATACTCATCATTTGAACATAAGAAAATGTGTTTTACGAAAGCCAAGTCATGTTTTTACATTTCATTTACTGACTTTACACTTTTTGTAACGGTTTCCATCGTTTAATACTAAAATAATGCTAAATTTTAGCTGCTATTAATTTCGCACAGAAAAAGTAATCATTTGACCTAATGTGCTTTGTGACAAAAATGCTGAACTTCATAGCGCTTGAGGCACGTCTTTCCGTTATCCGATTTTAAAAATTCTTCGCAGGGCATGTTTTATTACCAATGGAACATTTCTAGGGTGAGTCTTGCTTTGTACCTTAACAAAAAATTTTCTCCATACAAATAAAGCGTCTTATGCATGTAGTAAAATCCTAAATATTTCCGTGTGAATTTGTTAACGGGTTATATGATTTTAGAACTCTATTATGTATTTAGTTGCCAACAATTAAATACAGCAACAATCATATAGTTAATCAGATAACTTAATAACCAGAAATAAACTGAAGAAATTCATTATTATGTACCCATACAAATACATATGTAAAAAAATTAAGTGCGCCTGGGCCACACTGGAGAAGTGAAACTTACATTACATACATATCTATTTTGTGTCATAACCAATATACATACGTACATATGTACATTAGACTGCATCACTCCCCATACAAAAAAAAATCGGCATTATTTTTCCATTGGAATTATAAAAGCTATTATATTTTAAGCCGTCCACCAAAATATTTCGGAAAAATATTAAGATTTAAGTGAGCTGGACCGATTTGAAAATACCTCCAAAAATGGAGTTTTTTATGAATAAAAACCGTTTCTTAAAGATTTTATTTGAAAAAAATCCCCTCAAATGACGAAACGGTTTAAGCTTAAAATATTTGCATAAAAATATTTAAAAATTTAAAAAAAAAAATTTGAACGGAATCGCAATGATGAGACTTTGATGCTGTTTTTTTAACTTTTTTCAAAGATTAGTATAGGAAAAACTTTAATAACCCAGCAAACATCTGGAGTCATAAATGAGTCTTTAAGGAGTCCCATTTCGGAGCCTTTGTGCTCATTATGATCTCATTTAAGAGTCCGAAATGAGGGTGTTTCCCTTCCTGCGAAGGTCGTCCTATATGAGCTTAAATTCATACATCAAATGAGCCTCAATATGAGTCATATTGGACTCTTATTGGCCTCATATACGGCTCATTTTGGACTCTTTTTGAAGCTCTTAAATGACTCTTATTGGCCTCATAAATGCCTACTTTCGGAACTCCTTGTATGCTGTTCTGTGACTCTTATTGGCTTTATTCTTCAACTCTCTTAATGAACTTACTTTAGAGCCATGTTAGCAAGGAATTCATATATGCGCATACATATATAAATATGTTCATATATTGCAGCATTCATGTAATAGCAGTTGCTGCAGCTAAATTTTGTTTATTTTTCCTTCCTAATTATTTTTCATGTCTGTATAAACAAGTTTAGATATAAATTTCTAGTCGTTATTGTTTTTATACTGGCGCAAAGTGCTGGCTCATAACTTGGATCATATATGACTCCTAAAAGATTCATATAAGAGTAAATAAATGTTTGTTTTTGAAACTCATATTTCTTATTTACCTAGGACTCCTTTCCGACTCATATATTCTGAGCGCTCAGAATATGTTTGCGGGGAACAGAACCTAAACTCTTCCGATTTGGACTTGCGAGGTGTCATTGGAAAGGTAGTTTCTCACCCTTTTTATTTCTTTACTAATAAACTCATTCAAAGGATGGAAGAGAAAGGTAGGATGAACGAACGTCATTCAAAGTTGAATTAAGATGCTTTGGTCTTTGAAAAAAAAAAATGTGGGACACAAATAACTTTTTTTAGACAGAAATAAAAACAGTGTGTACCTTTCTACTGAGATCCGATAAGTCTAAATCAGACCATTTTTGGCCCAGTTATTCAAGTTTTTCGTAAACCAATATTTGAAAAAAGTAAAAAAAACAGCATCAAAAATCTCATTCTAACGATTCCGTTGAAAATATTTTCGATTATTTTTATGCAGATTTTTTAAGCTTAATCAAGTTTGTCATCTGAGGGGCTTTTTCTAAAAGTTCTTTAAGAAACAATTTTTATTCATAAAAAACTTCATTTTTGGAGGTATTTTCAAATCGGTCCAGCTCGCTTAAATCTTAATATTTTTCCGAAATATTTTGGTGGACGTCTTAGAATATAATAAATTTTGTAATCCCGGCGGAAAAACCGCAACTTTTTTTGGTGATGCAGTCTAATGTACATACATACATACATACATATTTTTGTATCTAGATGCCTACCTCTGTTCGTTCTAAATACATTTATGTTATTCTGTTTTTCATTATCTTAATTTTTATCTTTTTACTATATCGATAACAAAATCGATAGTAACATCCAATAAAATATCGATAACAAAACCGATAAAAATATCGATAACAAAATCGATAAAAATTTCGATAACGAAAACGATAATAATATTAGTAGCAAAATCTATTAGAAACTCGAAAAGAATATCCAGAACACAATCGATAAAAATATCGGTAACAAAATCGATAAAAATGTCCATAACAAAATCGATAACAAAATCAATAAATATCGGTAACAAAATCGATAAATGTCGATAACAAAATCGATAAATATCGATAACAAAATCAATAAATATCGATAACAAAATCGAAAAATATCGATAACAGAATCAATAAATATCGATAACAAAATCGATAAGAAAATCGATAAAAATATCGCTAACAAAATAGTTAAAAATATCGATTACAAAATCGATAACAAATCGATAAAAATATCGATAACAAAATCGATAAAAATGTCGATAACAAAACCGATAAAAATATCGATAAGTCCCGAGAATTCCGAAAATTTCTAAAAGCCCAAAATAATTCCCTGATTGAGTCTCTGTGTCGCTCTCTATATCCTCTCCTCTTAAATTACCTTTATTTTAATCTTTCTTTCCCCATCTTCATCTTTACTTTTATCGGTATCCCCACCTTCCTCTTTGCCTTTACTTTTATGTTTATCATTTTCTTCATCTACATACATATTTCCCTTCACCTGTGCCCTTATATATATAAGTAAAGTGTTTAAATTTACCTTCATTTTTGCCTCTATCTTTACGCATCTTTGTTTTTGTTTTTATTTTTGCCTTTGCATTTATCCTTTTCTTTATCTATGTACGTAGTCACCTTTACTTTCATTCTTGTATTGGCCTTTTTCTAAGTGTTATCCTTTAACCTTTTGTCAGCAAATTTTAGTTAAATTAATACCATATGCATACACACAAGAAGCGCTTGTTTCAGCCCCAACCATTTCCGTTGCACCATTTCCGTTGCATCATTTCCGTTAACCTTTTATTAGCAAATCTTAGTTAAATTAATACCATATGCATGCACACAAGAAGCACTTGTTTCATGGCCCAACCATTTCCGTTGCATCATTTCCGTTGCACCATTTCCGTGTGCAATTTCCGTTGAATTTGCTAATTTACTCCTGAAGAAGTTTCACTTCAAAAATACATATCCATATGTAATAAATTCATATACATATATTGCATATTATGCGCTGAATATTATTGGTACAAACATTTTTTTACTTACAGATTCAGACTTTGAGAGTAACCCAATACCGCCATTAAGGTTTAACAGAAATGATTCAAGTAGACAACTGAACCAACAGTCTTGCAGCACTTCAGATGCCCAGGCAGTATTTAAAACGTCTTTGCCAAAGATGCATGTTATGCGAAATAAAAACAACGGCACTTTTGAACAATTGCATGAAAATTTTCGACAAATAGTTATGAAAGACGTACTTGAGTACAGGACGCAACAACTGCAAAAATCTCAACTACTTATTGAATTGTGACTTTCAAAAGTACATATAAATGTAAATGCAATAACAATATAAATTATAGAAATAAAAAAATATGTGCACATACATTGCAGAGAAGCGCAGCGAGTATGATCAAACTGAGTATATCCCACTCACCATCCATAATTTATTCTGCTTAGAAAAAGCAGCGTACATTTTGAAAATTTAAGGAGAAATCAACGTTTTTTTCATATTTATATCCACCAGGCAGAAGCACAATAATAACCGGTTTCTCCAGTAATTTAAATTGAAATTGATTTTGTTTTCTGTCAATTGACTGCTCAATTGTCACTTAAATTGCTTTCGTGAAATTGGCTGTAAGTGCCATTAAAACATATTAAATTACCCACTGGCTTATAGGCAATTTTGACCACTTTGCACAATAGGTCAAATGATTCATTTGGCTGTGCGAAAGTCCAATTTCGTAAACGCAGTTTTACATTATTGTTTGATGCCATTCTGTAGGAAATACTCCAAAATAACTGAAACTTCACTTTGTTTTTGTAAAATAAAAATCACCGTTAGACAGCAATCAAACAAAGTTACACTTTCAAAACGTTATTGACACGTCGTTTGCGCAACCGGTTTATTTCTTAAGTTTAAGTGTATTTTTTATAAAGCTCGAATCACAGTATATACAGTAATAAACCGTTTCGCAGTTTTTGACCATTTGGTCCCCGAGGAGTACTTTTGGGTTGTGTGCAGCGTGTTCGTTTTGCACGCACGGCAACACTTACTGTGGGGAATTTCGCCTCACGATTAGAAAAAGTACATTTCGAGGATAAAATATACACAATTATGTGTTATTTATGAACAAAATGTAGGTTAAGGCTGTGTGCGAGTACGTCTAAATTGCTACCTAAATAGAGAAAAATCCTAAATCACTGGAAAGTGTCGGTAACGTATATACAGTAATAAACGTTTTTGAGTACTCCTCGGGGGTAAAACCTGATCAGGGTTGATAATGAGAAGGATCATGAATTTTGTTGATTCAGAGTAGTATACAAAATTATTCTGGTATGAAAGGGAGCAAAAACCGTACTATGGCAGAGTGGCACAAGTCATGACTGTGTAATAGTGCCCAAAACTATTGCAAAAGTGTAAAAACATTGCAAATTTTTTGTCTATTATTATAGATACTAGTATAGATTATCATAGTTCAGTGTATAATTTGTTATATTATACTGCACATAATAATGAACTGTTAAATGTTGAAAACGCTTGTAACTTGTAGATCACTCAAACTTGGGTGTGCTTAATGGACTTTCTGGGCGGATGTGCTGGCAGTCATTGGGATCTGTATAGCTATACAAACCTTGTTGTTTTTTTAAATAAAGACTTAAATATATTCGGAAATTTAGAATTTGGCTTGATAAATTCACAAAAATTACGGTTTTCATAAATAATTTAATCTTACAATGGACTTTTTTTTATTTTAAACTTACATTTCAGAAAACTCCATTCAATGCTATAATTACGATTTGAGTTTCCCAGTTTATAAAACACAAGCGTTATTTATGTACTTAACTATTGATATTATTCTTCATTACGCATGAATATCAGCATACATTAAAGATGAATATTATACTTAAGCTGTGTGCGAGTTTACCTAAATTTTAGTACCTAAACTAATATTCCACTGGGAGTTTCCAGCACTGCTACAATTTAGGAAAACAGCTGCTGAAACTGTGGAAGTTCGTTCGACAACCTAAATTGTTTGTTTTGGAATTGTTGCTTTTAATAAATATATCTATAAAATGAATAATTTTGCGGTAGCTTTGGGACTATTTAACAATATAATAAATTTGCAACAGAAAAGGAGAATGTTCCATCCTGGCATCTATAAAAGAATCCGTTTGCTCTTCTGACCCTGCGAAATAATATACATCCATCGAATTACGCATATACTTATCTGAATGCAAAAATCAAATGAATTTATACTTACATCATTCTGAATATTTTCTTTTTTGTGCCACAGCAATGATAAAAATTATTTCAAACATCAAAAAATCGTTGTTCACTTAATCGCTCGCTCAAATATATTTGACTGTTCAATTTAGGTTGAAAAGTATGCTCGCAGAAAACCTAAATTGTTCCTATTCACTGC